TGACATTGAAAAATTTCAGGAAGTACCATATGAGCAGGAGCCAATGGTAGTGAAAGAGAAAGTTGAAGCTGTATTGAAGGAACTGTGAAAAATAGGAGGCCCCGGGAATTGGTGGGATACAAATTGACTTGTTTCAATTACTGATGCAGCCCCGGATGTGCTCACTATTCTATGCCAGGAAATTTGGAGGACAGTTTTCTGGCCAACAGATTGGAAGAGATCCATATTTCCAAGAAAGGTGATCCAACAAAATGTGGAAACTATATCTAAACTTGTTTAGACATTTCTCTGGTACCCTTTGCTTTCAGCCAAGATCCATCTGATATTGGCAATACTGTCTCTAGTGCTATAGTCTCTTATAAATGCAGCTGCTATTTCTCGTAGTTCTCTGTTAAAGTACTGTTCTAGTCATTTTTGGATGATCTTCAGCAGTATTTTGCTTATGTGTGTGATATTAGTGATATTGTTCAATAATTTCCACATTCTATCGGATTATCTTTATTTGAGAAGTTGTTTGTGGATCCAAGGAAGTTGTAATTGTTAACCACCTCAATCTCTTCCCCATCTAATTTCTTTTTTTATTTTTATTTAAACAATTTTCATCTGAGATAGGTGGGTCAAAACTTCCAACTTCTCACTTAGTAGGAGATGTAAATCATTTGTGTCATCTGAGGACTAACAGTAATTAGAAAACACAGTATAAATCATATAAACTTGACCATTTATAAGTAATGGTGAAAACAAAGCAAAGAGAGGGAGGAAGGTGTAAGTAAACTATTTTTTTTATCCTCTTTGTTGAACTTTCTATATATTAAAAAAAGGTACACAATTCAAACTCACCAGTAGTTAGTTATACAGGGAAAAGATAGGTAGTTTCCTCATGTGCAATTTACAGTCTCTGAAAACTCACTGAAGGGTCAGATAGTTAGACAACCTCATTTAAAGTGTTAAAGAGAAGTGATGTCAATTTAAAGACTAAGGTGAACCTGACGCAGGCCATGAACTTTTCAAGCACTTTCTATGCATCTAAAAGTTGAACAACGAATAAACATGACAGAGGAAAACTTGATGACTTTGAATTGTGGTGCTAGAGAAGAATATTGAGTATCCTATGAACTGCCAAAAAGAATAAACACATCTGTTTTAGAGGGAGGGTAGCCAGGATGCTCCTGAGAGGCAAATATGGTGAAACTTCCTCTCACATACTCTAGGCATGCTGTCAGAAGGGGTCAATCCTTGAAAATTAAGAAGACACCATGCTTGGAAAGGTGGACCCTTCACCCTTCCCAAAATTATGTCCTTCTCCAATGAATAGCACCTCCTAGCAACGTGTCCAAAGCATGTGAGGCAAAGCCTCATCATCCTGGCCTCCAAAGAGCGCTCCAGCTGCACCCTCTCCAAGACATATCTGCTCATTTTCTTGGCTATTCATAGGGTGTTCGCTGCTCTTTTCCAACACAGCTCAAAGACAGCAATTCTCTTTCTGTCATCCTTATTCATTGACTGGGTCTCAGATGCACAACTAGTAACCAGAAAGACTATGGCCTGAATCAGATACACCTTAGTCCTCAAACTGACATCACTACTCTTCAATAATTTGGAGAGGTCCCTAACTGAAGGTTTTCCCAGTGCAGTGTGTCTCCTTGTTTCCTGACTGTTCATGCCAAAGGTATTAACTGTGGATCCAAGCAAGATGAAGCTGTTGACAGCTTCAATGTCCTCTCCATCATCATGACATTGCCTATTGGTCCAGTGACTGTGTGGATCACAATAAACTGTGGCTAATTCTGAAAAGAATGAGAACTCTAGAACACTTGATTGTCCTTATGCAAAACCTATACTTGGACCAGGAGGCAGTCATCAAGGAAATACTACATGATTCAAAATCAGGAAGAGGGCATGCCAGAGATCTCAATACTTTTTCAGTCTATATGCAGAACAGATCATTTGGAGACTGGGCTCTATGAGGAGGAATGTGGCATCAAGATTGCAGGAAGATTCATTAATAACCTGCAATATGCAGATGACACAACC